CGTGGTGCCCAGCGACAGGACAAGAGGCAATGGGCAGAAACTGAACCACAGGAAGTTCCATCTGAACCTGAGAAAAAACTTCTTGACTGTGAGGGTGAGTGAGCACAGGAACAGGTTGCCCAGAGAGGTAGTGGAGTCTCCTTCGCTGGAGATGTTCAAAACCTGCCTGGAAGCGATCCTGGGCAACGTGCTCTAGATGACCCTACCTGAGCAGGGAGGTTGGACTAGATGATCTCCAGAGGTCCCTTCCAACCTAAACCATTCTGTGATTCTGTGATTCTGTTTATATAATAGGACAGATAGGTAGGACTCTAGGTGGAAATCTGAGTTTATTTTCCCTATCATTCATGAACTGTCTATTTCGCAATTCTCAGCTGTGCAACAGGCATCCTTTCTCTTTATAGACATTGCAAAATCTTTAGCATAAGACTTGCCTTTTATTATGTCACTGTGAAATTGCATTGTATGAAAAGAAGCCATTTTCAGGTCCTAGAATCTAATTTTTTTCCACAAGGAAACAGTGGTTTCAGGCAGAGACTAACCTGTTACATGTATATCTCTGTTGGAGGTGTATATAAACTGTGGGCACTCATGTACACTTCTGCTTCTGAAATCTCACTTCTTTCAATTTGTTTCCCATGACTGATATCAGGCCTACTATTAATATGGCTTGTCTACATGTCCAGCTACATTAAAAAATAAGAAAAAAAAAGAAATTGAAATCCACAGCAGATCAGCACTTAAATTTTGGGGAATCTGTGCATATGTTCTACAAAAAGCAATTTCTCTTTTACTTTGTTTTCTATCTGAATGTCTTTGATTATTCCCAGAGGACTTGATTCTGAATCTGTTATTTATGCAAGTAGTCCTGTTTTGTGTAGATAAGGCTTTTTTCATGACTAAAGATACAGAGGATCAATTTTATATTTTGAGGAGAGATTCTACAGCTTTTATTCCAATGGAACTCCTCTTGAAGTTCATGGGATGATCTAGGGGAATGAAGATTTTCAGAATGGTTTTCTTTTTCACTGTGCACTCTTCTAAGAAGGATATGAAACCATTCCCGCAAGCTTGCCATTAGTGGGACTCCTAAGGACTTCAGTGAGACTCTAAACAGAAAAAACTTAATGATTATATTCCCCTTGACTTTACTTTTTCCACAAAGCACTATTCTCAGGCTGCTAAAAACAAACAAAAAACCACTGAAACTTAAGGTCCTGATTGAAATGCTGGCAGACACTAATATACTTACTGACTAAAATTACAAAACCATTCCAAGCCTATTCCAAGACCCAACAGAACTAGTGGCTAGATTTTCATTCACTTAATGAGGCTTTGGATATTAGACTATGAGTATATTGATAATATAAACATCTGTACAATCTGAGAGCATGGAGCTCAGTCCTGTAGGTTCCCTGCTAACATTAAGTAACCTCCTTGACTGGGAAGTAATGCTAGTGAGCTACTGCTTTCCTGCTCATGGGTATCCTTGTTTGTAGGATACAGTGAGTATTGTCTTACAGCATCTTTTGTTTTCCCTTGTCTATAATTGTTGCTACCTTTTCTTTAAGCTCTTTGGGATAATAACCTCGCAATATGGTCAACAGAGTAGCTAGTCAAGTGAGTATAAAGTTTCTGATACAGGATCCATATTCTCTGACTTAATATATTTTTGTGAACTGTCCTGCTATTGAAATAGAATATGTACCATATATGACCTTGAAAAGCTTGGTTAATGCTCTTTTAGTTATACTGGATTTCAACAAACTGATATATTTTTATTGTGAAGCTATTACATAATTGTCCCATTAGGAACTTGAAATCAATCTGGGTAAGATCCAGAAGGTTTTTCCAATGATTGTCAATGGAGAATTTTGACCATTTGTTAGAAATTTTAACTGTTCATCTGTCTGTGTAGCTGACATTTTTCACATCATGCCTATCACTATGGCATCAAAGTACTTTATAAATTTAGTAGGTATCAGATCATGTGTATCAGTGAAATCCCGTTGGCTTCAAACAAACCCAGTTCATACCATTTCGTAGTTTTCTCCTACACAGTCCTCACTGTGATAAATCCAAAAGTGAGATAGTTTGTCCCACATTCCTTGTGTCACACAGCATTTGCTATTTTCAGGAGAAAGTTAGAGAAATATGGATCTGAGGGTCAAATTGGTATCATACGATTTTGCTTAATATAGATATATACATTTCTACTTGCAATACTGCCTGGGATCCTGGGACCCTTGATACAATATGTGCTGTCAGTACTACGACAGTTTACAGATGTGCAGCCTAACTCCTTGCTATTTATAGATGCCTCTTCTGCAGACAGTTCTTGAGGCGGTTGTAATGCAGTAACAGGCACATTCTTTGATTTATTGATTGCATTATATTAATTCTGCTCTACACCTGGCATGGTAAAGGAGGCATATTTATGAAGGTCAAATATGTCTTCCTTTGCAGAGATAGAAGTATTAGGAGGTGAAATGTGAGATTCACAAGGGAGCAAGGTGTCTACTGTGAGGACTATGTGGCAGGAAGAGGCATTTGGCAGAGACTCAGTACATTGGAAGAAGAAAGAATTCAGTAGTCAAATGCTCAATCACACTGGAGTAGTACCTCTGTTCTTTAATACCTCTGCAGAGCAACTGGGAAAGGTGGTCAGTGTCACTTGTGCATGTGAGGGGAAAGCTGTTAAAGCTCATTGGTGTGCAATATCCTTGGGAGTCTGTACACAGCCATGCTGCATATCGGGTAACCATATGTTAAATGTTCAGGCAGAATGCTAGGCACAGCCTATTAATAGAAACAGGGAATTTGGCATGCACTCGCGCTTTCGCCTGTTTCCCTCTCATATGCTCCCCAGAGGATGGAACTGCATCCTGCCTCCTTCCGTGTTCCCAGAGCTGAGAGGCTTTGCACGCTGCCCTGTCCCTTGAGAAGCCTCAGTGAAGTCAAGGCAGCCCCAGGAAAGGGACCAAGGGCTGCTCAACCCCATGGCTGCTGAGATGAGAAAGGCTGAGGGAACTGAAGGTAATGGGAGGGAGGAATTATGCAGCTTCTCTCCTTTCTTGCAGAAAACTGGAGAGCTCGCAGGGCACCCTCTCAGTCCTAACCCAATGCAAAGCACTTCTCTGCATTGCTCAGGCCAGCTGGACGCAAGGAGGAAAGTTCCTGTGCCCTCCCCCCGCCTCAGGCAGTTCCTTTTTGTGATATCCAGGGTGCTGCAGGGACACAGATTCTCCACAACTCCCTCAAATAGTCCTGCCAAAAAGCCTCCACAGCCTTCTTCCAGGCGAAAAACACTGGGAGCTGGCCAAGGTGCTGTGGAAGGAGACCCTTTTCTCTCTTTCAGCCCCTCAATACACAATAACCTTCCCCTTTTCTTACCGCCTGCACCACTACCACACCCAGGCCCCTGTACATCGCACAGAGCATCCCCCCTGCCGCCTGTGATGACCCACCTAGATCTTCCCGGGGAACCGAGCGAGCGGAGGGTCCACGGGGTGCAAAGTTCTCTGTCAGGAGGCAACTAGGAGGGAGGGGGTAAGGGCGAGGGGAAATGCATGATATTGCAGCAGCACCAGAGGCAGGGGAAAGCAGAAGGAACCGGGAAAGTTTATCTGCACTTACTGCAGCTTCTGCTAAGGGATCTATGCCCAGGGCTGGGGAAGCTGGGGTGCGGGGTTTTGCTCACGTCCTTACCTCGATGCTCTCGGCAGCATTCTCCGCCATTTTCCTCCTCAGGAGCAGGCAGCGGGAGGAGTGTTTCATTCCCATAAGAGCTAGCCAAGGGGTTGGGGCTTCGGGGTTGGTGTTCTGCTTTGTATTGTGTTTTCAAAAATCTCCAAAAGGATAGGGAGAAAAAATGATGAAAAACAGCAATTAAATCAGTCTGCTCTGTCTTTTCTGCTTTGTCCACGGGAATGTTTGCCTCCTCCTGGCATCCAGTGTTCCTCGGGCACTTTCAAGTTCTCCTCTTTCTCTCTCTCCTCCACTTCCAGCAAGCTTTCAGGACGGGGAGAGAGGCAGCACAAGCTCTTCAGGTTAAACTAAAGGGCTGTCGGGCTGAGAGTCCTCCCCTTCAGAGAAAGCAGTCAGGCTAAATAGGAGAGAAGCACGAGCTAAACTGAACTTGGGCATACAGTGACCAGCTGGGCATCTTTGTGTCCTGTGGCTAATCTTCCAGAGACAGAGGGAGCCAGATACAAAGAAATAGGACAAGGAAACCATATCCCCTTTGTTTCCTTCTTTGGGCTTCTCTCTTTTTCTCCAGATCTCCAGGAAACAGCCTTTAAAGATGCTCACAGCATTTGCCACCTTCTTTCAACGAATGTCTTCAGAAATAGCAGCCCCCTCCCCCTCCCCTTTCTCCCCCCTTCTGCTCTTGGGCTGAGCTCAATGCTCTTCTCTGGGAATTGCATTCACGTGTCTTTCCTAGGAAAAAAAATTATACCAAGCTCCCCCCTCCATCGCCTACACGTTTTCACACATGCATGCACCCACACAGCTACACGCACACACATATTGTTTCTCTTTTGCACAGACATTCACAATCTTTTTCTTTCCCATCTCTTCCCCCCTCCCTTTCTGAATCAGCATCAATTTCTTTGCAAAGACTCTCAGCAAGGATCTTATGGGGCAGTGGAAGAAATCTGCTTCAGCTTCTTTCCTCCAAGTTAAAGAGCAAACCTGCTTTCTTTTTTCTTCTCGTGTATGTGAGTGTGTATTTCCAGCTTCTGTTTCACTTGAATTTTTGAGCAGGAGCCACATACTGTTAGTAGTCCTGAACTGCAGAAGTATAGTCCTGGTCCGGATACAGCTCCTGCAGGAAGGAGAGGAGTGGGAGAGGCGGGGGGAAGGAAAGGAAGAGGTATTGCTGGGGAGGGAAGGGGTAAAGAGGGTAAAGGTGTTTTGGAATTATTTTTAGCCTTTCCCTAATGACAGCTTTCTCCTTAGGAACGCATTGCCACCTTCCACGAACATTGCTCTTGCTCCCCCAGCACTTTCTGGTTCTGAGTTGTTAGCTGGGAGGGCTAGATTTACCTCATTTTTGTTGCTGAGGGTAAGGGTGGGAGAGGGGGTGTATTACATAATTAATTCTTCCACCTTCACTTTCCCCAGCTCAATCTCCAGCCTACTGTTCTCACTTTTTTTTTTTTTTTTTGTTGGCTCTTATATGGAGGAGGTGAGAAAACAATGCTAGGGGTGTGTGTGTGGGGGGGTGTGTCTGTGTGTGTCTGTGTGTGTCTGTGTGTGTTGCACTCAAGATTTCAAGGGCCAGAAAAGGATTGCTGCTCTCTGAACAGTTCAGAATCATTTCTTCTGGGACTGCTAATGGAAACCCCGAAAGAGGTTTGAAAGATTACTTTGGATGCATATTTTAAGCACACACCCAGTGCAGATGCTACATCAATCTCTGATTATGATATATTTGGATTTTTGATTTTTTTGATCCTCTACCTCCTATTTTAAAAATTTTTAACAAGAGTTTATCCTCAGCTGACCTTTAGAGTACTGGCATCCCATCAAGAACTACTAGAGCAACAGGAGGTTCCTGCACACATAGGAGGCTGAAATATTCCTGGGGATTCAGGATTGAGGACAGGCAATATGAATGGCGGAGCAGAGAGTAAAATTATCCTCCCACACTGAACTGATGGGGAAGTGGGGCTAAGGAAATTAAATGAGCAAATTTCTCCTTTGGACTTAAGAATGACCTTCAGATACTTGTGTTTAGAGGCACACAGTCCTTCAGTGGAATCAGTAGGTATAAAAATAAGTTTCAAGGATGTATGATAAATCACGTAAAAGTATGGAACCCAGGGAAGCATAAGGGGATGTGATACACTGAAATGGCAAATGACAGATGACAATATGCCATGTAGGCAATGATGGTATCATATAAAAACATCTCACAGAATATGAGAGTATGTTGTACAGACACACGCCATATGGCTGGAGGCTGGACCTCCATGAGGTACCTTGCAGTTGTTTACCTTCAGAGGTACCTTCAGTTGTTTAAAGGTCTGATTTCCTGCTATTCCTTTCAGCTCACATCTTTTCTAACATCTCAAAACCTTTCATTAGCTCCACACAACTGCTATTTTTTCAATGATCATCTTGTGGACCTCCTTCATTTATATATAGAGTAATTTTTGCACCTTTTGTGCATGAGGTGCACAGAAATGGAACCAGGGAATTCTCCCTTTTCTTTGGGACACTCATAGAGCTCTTAAAGGTCTCAAAAGCTCCAAGGCATGAAAAATCTCACAGCTGTTGCCCATAGAATCTATTTTAGAGTATTCCAAAGGCACCTTCACAGTCTTGGACTATGGAACTATTAGTTACAGAGTGCTTTGATTACTAGGTGGAGGGATAAGGAAAACAATTTAATGAATAAAAATTAAGTCTCTACAATCTTTGTCACATGATTTTCTCTGCCATGGTAGGAATGTCTGGTGATGAGTGTATGAAGTTTTAATCAGCATGAAGTTAGGCTGACCTACATATTTTACTGTAGCTTCTCTATTTTCAGGTAATAAATGTAGCCAAACTTAGCCTAATGAAACCATTTACAGTAAACCTTTATTCTGTACAGAGAACAAGAACTAGATTTTTTAAAAGAACTCCAGAACAGATTTTTCAGTGTTCTTTAACAACTTGGTCTGTATTTCTAGTACAGCTCAATCACTCTTTAGTCACTTAAATGAGGCATCAAGTTCTTAAAAGCACTCAGCAACTGGCAGCAGAGATTTGATTTAGATCCTTCCTGCTTTCCCTTCAAATCCTGTGTGACTTGCCCTGACACCTAACTTACCCTTGTCCTTCTCTACTTCTATAGCAAAACAAATGATGCCTGACTGCTCAACCATGAACTGGCTGCTAGTCCTTGTCAGACACCAGGAAAGCCTTCCAGTCTCCTTGTTTCTAGCATAGGGAAGAAAGAGGGTTTTGGCCCTCAGCTCCTTTGAAAATCTGACAAATGGTTAGTGCCCTCACTCCTCCAGTCCTCCTTTTACCTTCTAGATTTAATTGAGGAAACCGCTTTGAAAATGTGTGCCAATCCGAAGAGAAAATGATTTGTCCTTCAGGACAAATCCACAGGAACACTGAACCTGAGGAATATGAACTTTCATACCGTTTAGGGGACAAATTCTGCCCTCAGAGATGTGAATACAAATCCTACAAATCTGTCCTTATCTAAGAAAGATAGCTGACCGTTGGAAATGAGCTGTGGAACATATTTCTTCCCCCTGCTTTGTTTTAAAAGTCAAGCAAAACAGTACTGTCATAAGGAAAATTCCACCATAGTAGTAGTATATGACTGTATTTGTAACACAGCCAGGAGATGTCAAAAGCATTCTAAATTTGAAAATATCATTTGCAAAGTGCATATGAAGGCCACAAAGCATTACAAATGGAGGTGGGGTGATGCTGAAGAGAAAATGAAAAGGGAACCTTTATTACTTCAGATTTCCAATAATAGCAGCTGTAGTTGTGGATGCTTTACTGCTTGCTGAGTGTGACAGTAATACAGTACTGGTCCTCAGAAGACCCAGATTCAGTCCCAGTTTTGCTTTAGCTTAGATGAAGTGCAAAGTTCTGTATCTGAGGTGTAATAATTCCATGCATCAGTACTGGCTGAGATGCATGCTAGTCCTGATGGAAAGCATCCAGGGGTTACAGGGTGGCAGTGGTGCCAAGTTGAATAAGACTCCTTATGATCTCTCATTACAAAAAAGGGAAACTATATACTTAGCTACCTTAGGTGGAATGTGGCCAGCAGATCAAGAGAAGTTATGATTCTCTCACTACTTGGCACTGGTGAGACCATGTCTTTGATTCTGTATTCAGTTCTGGGTCACCTAGTTCAAGATGGAGGTGGATACATTGGACATGGTTTGGTGGAGGGCTACAAAGATGGTCTCTTATGGCACATGATGACCTCTGAGAAAAATTAGGCTTGTTAGGTACAGTGAAGAAGAGGCTAAGGGGCACTCTTGAAAGTGGCCTATAACTATCTTTAAGGATAGTTACTAAGATGACAGAGCCAAACTCTTGTTGGTAGTGTCAGATGATATAAAAAGTGGCAATAACTACAAGCTGTGGCTTGGGAAGTTCAGCTTGAATATTAGCAAAAGAAATGCTGCTTCAGTTTAAAAAACTAACCCTTCTTTGGGCTTTATACATCAAGGATAGCCTTTTTTTTTCAGTTACAAAGCTGTGCCTGAGGATGACATCACAGGAGTATGTGAGCTGCTAAAGATGAAGCTAAAAATATATATGAATAGGAGATCACCTTTTTCCTCTGATAAAAGCTTTCTTCCCAAAATAACTATTCGGGAAGAAGGTTGCTGCTGTCATCCGCCCAATTGGAGTGTGTATGAAGTACTTCACACACAGACTATTTGGTATCAGGTAGAAGGCAATGATAGCGCTCCCATTAAACAATAAACAAGAAATACATGGATGAATAAGTAGAGTAAAAGAAAATGGGAATAAAGGAGGTTGGGTGGAGGAAGATTGGCAGAGTAGGTGAAAAAAATCTGCAAAGATCTGCATAGAATAGCACAGGGTAGCCATGGTAGGCAGTGATGGAAAGGCTGCAGACAGAAGAAGATGGAATAAGAAAGCACTTTAGGGTCACAAAGAGTATTCACATGGCCTGAATCAGTCTTAAACTGTTATATTTTTAACAGTGGGATATTCAGTCATATAAGACAGATTCCTTCCATTGGGTCTTTTAAGCCCTCCTGCCTCCCCCAACTCTCCCCCAATTCTGTCCATCTCTTCCCCAATCATTTTTGCACATCTGACAAGAAAGATTAGTCCAGGAAATTTCACTATTCTCAATATCTTCCATCATGATAAAAGGAAGAAGGCAAAAGATAATCTGCCTGGAAAAGACTTCTCCCTCTTCTGTTTGATGTCAGCCTTAGGCAGAAAGACTGGGCATCAGGTGCGTTTCCTCCATGTTTTGTTTGGAAAAGAGAAGAAGGGGATAATACAAAGACTAGGAGCAATCACTGGGCTCTAAGTCCTCTTTCTAAGTGGAAGGGAAAATACTGCAGCACAGACCTCTTCCTGCTCCAAAATCCCCCCAAAATTTTGCTGCTATCTGATCAAAGGCAGACAGGGGGCAAGTCCTCATCTAGTATTATTTTGTATTGTTCTTTTCAGTTAGTAGTCTTGCGTTAACTGATGTCAGCTGAGGATTCTGCCCTTTAAGTGAAAAACTGTCATAACTGATGAGTCAAGGCTGACTAGTTCTCATCAACTTTTTTTTTTTTTCCTTTCGGGAAGGAAATTGACAGAAATCAGAAACTGACT